TTTTATGTTTTAAAGTTTAAAATTTGCAAGTATAATTGTTTTTTTATAATTCCCTTGCTTTAACTGACTTTTTAATTTAATTAAATGCCAGCCCAACTGCATCACCTGGGAGCAGGTAAAAGATAGTCGTAAATACAGAATGGAAGTTGGGAAGCTGTATACAGTGGAAGAGAGAATTATTGTAATTAATTCTTTTAACATACATTTTAAAAATTGAAGCATAATTCTATAACCTGCAGACTTAACATTTGATGCATTTTCCAAGTCTTTTCAATCTTTTTTTTATTACATATGTGGAAATACCACTAATTGAAGGATTACTAAATATCAAACCCAAACACCATTTCATGTGCTTCTAACCATCCAGGCCCTTAGAAGTTAAATGATTGTTCAGGGTCACACAGGTAGAATTTGAAATCTGCTATTTACATCTCATGCATGATGTCACAGCCCAATCTTAACTACAAAACTACATACAGTAACTGCTTCCCTCTCCCCCATTTAGCATAGCTTCAGCATTTCCCAGAACATTAACAGTAATAATTAATTGGCAACTTTGACCTTTTATTGCATACATACACCATGATTAGTTGCTTGAGTAGGAACATGACATGATTTCATGTTTTAGGGGAGTTATCTGGCAGTGAGGCTTGGATTATTTTAATGAGAATGGAAATAATAAAACATGAACAGAATGGGAGAACTTACTTGCATGATATAGCAATTGCTATGTAAATGTAAAAGGTGGTTTGGTTACTATTTAGATTTAAGGTTTTATTGGCCTTAGAATACACTCTCAGACCCTTTCCATCCATTCATTCATTAGGTCATTCATTCATTCAACATCCACTGAGCACTTAACTATGCAGTAGTGATATACAGGATCCGGCACAAATAATGCCCGTTTTACTACAAAGTCTTTTATTACAAAATCATAAGCATGTAATTCTGTAACATGACAATATCACACTCAAGCACACCATATATTTTAGGTGAAATGTTCAAATTAAAACTATAAATTATTACACCCATATTATTACCCCACCAACCACACTCAAGTAGGCCTTACTTCTGCTGGACCTTGTGGTGGAAAAAAACAAAACAAAACTAACAACACAGGCCCTGCCTTCACAGAGCTGATGTTCTAATGGGGAAGTCAGAAATTTAATAAATGAGTCCACAAATAATGAACTATCATTGTAATGTGCTACCAAAGTACAGGAGACAATGAAAACAGATAATAATGGGTCTTGTTTATTTTCTTCACATTTTGTTTATTTCTGTAGAATGGAAGCACTAGGGTGTTTCAATACGAGATAATAAAAGTAAGGATCTTGAGTAATACTTGTACACTTTTCATGAACTCATTTGGCCTTCACTACAACCTAGTAAAAGTGATATTATGTTTCCTTGACCCAGTGTTTTATTATAACTGTAAAATATCTGCTGAGCGCCTACTATGTACTGGACTCTGTTCTCACAGTGGGACATACAATGAACAAGACAGATCAGGTCCTTGCCTTGACTGAGTTTGGACATCTCACCGTTATTCCCATCTCTACTTCTGGGACAATTATAGTCCCCCTCAGGTGAGGACTCATCCTATTTATTCTCTAGCAGTAATTACAACTTCCCAGGGTTACGGATTAGTAAATGTCTGTATGGCGATGTGTATAAAACATTTTCAATAGTGCCCAGCAGACAGAAGCTGTAAGTCAGAAGTTAGTAAGTTTATTAACTATTGTTAGAATTGCTGTTATTACAATGTTTAATTTCACATCGTTTCTGATACAGTGAATTTCATTTATTGAACTAAATTCCATACACACTTATTGCAAGCCTATCATGAGATTTGCACACTCTTTCATGGGAATGATGAGGTCAGCAAAGAAACACCTCTTTAATATTGTCTAATTCTGCCTTCCACACTAAGGATAAGCATGTGACCTTGAAAAAGCATTATTCTCGGTAGGCTTCAGTTTCTTCTAATTTTCATGAAAAATTCGCATAGTATCAATTAACTTGTCAGCAAAAAGAGTTGAGGAGGGGGGGAGTCAATAAATGTTAACCATAGAGCATAACAATTCTAACTCTGAAAAACAGACACTGGGTTAATTTACACTTTATGCATGTTTTCAAGTGAAAATGAAAGACTGAAGAATAATAATTTTTTTTCTAATTAAAAAATTAACAGGTACATTTAGACCACTGAAAAAGAAAAATCAGGAAAAGTTCACACTTGCTCAATTGAAAGTGTTTTCAATGGGAATTTTGAATTTAAAGTCTTCTTCCATTTAAAGATGCTCATCTGGACCTACAGGGAAAAAAAAAGAGTGGGGAAAACGTTAATTGGGAACTCTTGTAAAATTGGATATTATTCAAAAAGCAGAGTATCCACCACCTAGAATTTGAACAGATAAGATAAATGAGGCATATTCTTAGAGCAGAGATTCAACTAGAAATTGGATTATGGTTTGGGGATAAGCTAGATATCTTATGGTTCCTTTATATTATATATTTATATATTAAGTATCTATAGATAAACAATTCCTTGTATAACATTTAAGCGTATTTAGAAGGATAAGTTAACTAGCATCAGTTATTTAACTTTCTTTTGAAACATGCATTACATTATTGTAAGTTTGGGTCTTGATTTTCCCCCATAATATTGTTGGTGGTTTTGGAACCCGATCCACAGAAGAGATCTGACTCTAGTGCTTGAGACTTGGAAGGGGGAAAAATGGGCAAGTAGGCAAAGTAATGTTCTACAGTAAATTCTCACTTATTGTCTACTATAACCATTCAAGGCAAGGGTCTCCCTCTAGCTGACTTGCACCAAGTGAAAGGAAAAGTCATCTCTTCTGGATTCGGAAGGGGGGCTTGTTAACAACTGGGTTATTCAACGCCCTTCATAAATATTCTACTGACAGAGGGTTCTAAGTTGGCACAGGTTTTGGTTCCCTCTTTTCTGGGGCAGCGAGCGTCTCCTCCTTTGCCAAGATGGCGGCCTAGAATCGTCTAGGGGAGATCCGTGTAGATTGTCTCAGGAAATGCAGCTTGCTAGAAGCCTAGCTCTCTCCTTTCATGTGCGACAACACGGGGCAGCGAACCCCTTCAGAACCGAGGAAGGATGATTGCCGGTGCTCCGATCGAGAACCTTTGCCAAGATGGTGGCCGCGCCGCCGGGCGGGCGTCAGTGTCCTTTACCAAGATGGCGGCAGCTGGCTTCCGGCACGCGCTTCCCCGATCCTCTTGAAGATGTCAGAGCCGAGGCGGCCGCCGTCGGAGTCTGAGTGGCCAGAGGAGAGAGTGGCTGCGGCCGGGCGCCGGGGCAGGGACTAGGTGGAGCTGCGGCAGCGTCCGCCCCCGTCAGAAGCTGGCAAGCGCTGTCACCTGTGGGGGCGCAAAAGTTACCTCCCGAAACCCTAAAGCAACACAGCACTACCTTTCCCCGAGTCACAAAAATCATAATATATGCTGCACAAGGTAGGAGGCTCGATCCCGGTCCCGGCCCCGGCCCCACGCCCTCAGACGCGGGGAGCTGGGGTAGGGGGCTGGGGCGGGTACCTCCCGCGCGGACACCCCTTGCCCCAGCCCCTCTCCTACGGGATTGGCCACGTGTTTCCCTCGGGCTGAGGGGGAGGTGCGTAACGGGAACAGCTGGAGGGAGTTTAATGCTGACATTTTAAAGCTGCGTGTGTTTTGTTTTATTTGGAGGGGCTGGGGTCCCATCAACATGAAAAGGGTGGGCGACGCATGGAGTCGAGTGCAGCAAGTCAAGATTCGGGGAGGGGCCTCCACGGGACGCTTGGACACGGGCCCTGGAGGGGGTGAAAGGAGAGGTCAGGAGTTGCGGGGGGGCGTACTTTGCAAGCAACTTACTATTTCGTTTGCAACTCGCTTTTAGGCCTGCCACCCCCTGCTTTCCTTAAAAATAATGGGAAAAAAGTGCAAAGAAATCCAGCTCGCCGGAGGTTTTGCATTTGGCGTGCAACTTCCTTCAAGTGTGAGCGCGCTGGGGGAGGGGGGGCGGGTAGGGGTTGAATTTGGCAGGCGGCCCCTCCTTCTGCCGCCGCCGCCGCCGCCGCCGCCGCCGCCGCCGCTGCCGCCGCCTCGCAGACTCGGGGAAGAGGGTGGGGGACGGGACGGGGCGCGGGGGAGGGTGGGTTCTGCTTTGCAACTTCTCTGAGTGCAAGAGCGCGGCGGCGGCTGCAGATGGGCAGCTTTGACGATGCGGGGGTGGGGGACCTGCCGGCACGCGACTGCCCCCCAGCCCAGAGTACGTATGCACCGACCCTCTCCTCTGCTCTGCCCTCCCTTAAGCCTCCCCAGAGGGCGTGTCGGGCCGGCCGCCCCGAGCGCGTCCGAGACGCTGCTGCACCGTTTCCTTGCAACCCTGGAGCCCCGTGCTAAGAGACACACTTAGCGAAACTCGGCCCGGGGACGATGGCGCGGACCACCCCCGCAGCTCTCCTGCGGACCGCGCCCTGGCTCCCCTAGCCAACCCGCTGTCACCCGCAGGGGCGCCGGCAGCGATTGCTGTGAGCGACAGGGCGAGCTCGCGAGTGGGTCGAGAGTCGTGGAGCTGGGCGGGAAGGAGGCAGAAGAGAAACTAGAGAAACTCAGCTTCTCTCCTAAACGCGCCCTGTAGAGACTAGGTCGGCCCCCGCTGCCGCCTCCTCTCTTTTTTTCCTGGGGGTTGGGTGAGCGAGGACGATCCCCGCACGCCCCGGGGGCGGTGGCAGGCTGCCTGGGCGGGGGCTGTGCCGGGGCCACGGGCGTGTAGGCTCCGTGGGGGCTAGGGTGGCGGGGCCCGCGATGAGGGCATGGGGGGCAGGGGCCGTGGCCGCCCGTGCAGTTGCCGAGCGTCGCCAACAGGTTGCACCGTTCCCCGCTGCCGCCGCGCGGCCCCTCGGGCGGGGAGCGGCCGGGGGTGGAGTGGGAGCGCGTGTGTGTGCGAGAGTGTGCGCGCCGTGGCACCGCCTCCGCCCGCCCCCCGCTCGGTCCCGCTCGCTCGCCGCGTCCGGGCGGCCCTTTCGCGTGTCCGCGCTCCTTCCCTCCCTCCTCCTCCTCCATTTTGCGATCTCGAGTCTGTGACGGGAGCCTGAGTCGCCGCCCGCCCGTCGGGGACGGATTCTAGTGGGTGGAAGGAGACGCCGCAGCTGGAGCGGCCGAAGCGTAGAGGCGCCGGGACGGAGTACGCGCGCCTGGGAGACCCGGCCTGAGGAGACGGACGCCGGGCGGGAGGCTGGCTTGTCAGCCGGGAAATGCGAGACTTTCTTAGATAGGGGCTCCCCCTGCCATGGAGAAGGGGGCGGCTGTTTACTTCCTTTTTTTTAGAAAAGAAATATCTCCCTCCTGCTTTCACGCGCTAAGTTGTTTATCTCGGCTGCGGTGGGAGCTGCGGATGGTGGCGGTGAGCGGCGCCTCAAGCAGAGGTAAGAGGCTGGGGGCCGGGGCCGAGTGGCCGCTCGCTCCCCCGAGGTGCCGTTCGGGGGCTGCCGCGGGAGCTTGCAAACTTTTATTAGCCTCGGGGAGTGGGGGTGGGGGCCGGTGAGGGCCCAATGACGGTGACGAAAGGGCACTGCGCGGGTGACAGTGCTGGCCTCTTCCTCTCCCTCGGCCACCGCCCCCCGGCTGGGCCGAGGGGGAGGAACCTGAGCTCTTTTCTGTGAGTGGACCCTCTTGAGCTTCCCAGGGTTTCCAGCCTCTCGTTTTGCGGTGCGGAATTCTGCCCGCCCCCTCCCCCTTTTTTTTTTTAAAGTCCCTTCCTTTTCCCCTCCCAGGGGGCCGCCCCGACACCCTTTTTTACGGCGAGCACGCCGAGCCGCGTCTGATTTCTGATTCTGCTCGCCCGAGTGTTTCCACCCTGGTACTCAGGAGCGCGTCAGGGTTCTGTCGAGGCTCCAGCGCTTCTTACTTCTGGCGGGCTCGCCCGGGTGAGTGTGAGCCGCTCGCACTCAGGGGGCTGACAGCCTACGACTCGGAGACTTCGGCCGGGGCCCGCGTTATCGGGTAGGAGTGGGCGTGTCGGGAGAGAGCTCAACAGGTCCGGACACATTTCTTTATTAACCTCGCACTTTTTATTCCCGCTCCTGCTCCCTCCTGCCGCCCCCCTGCCGTGGTTCTTCGGCGCTTGGCGGCATTTCGCGCCTGACATTCATAAACTGATCCCCTTTTCGGAAAAGACCCTCCGCGGCCGGCATCGTTTTCTGGTGCGATTTTTGACAAGCGCGCGTTTGACGTTTGGGTCGCAGGGTTGGTACTGGCAGCCTTGTAATGCCACTTAAGACCCCACGGTCTCGTTCGTCAAGGCCGAGTAAAGTGCCGGGGTTATTTGCAGTGTAAACTGGGGGATCAAGACTTTGGAGAAGGGAATCCTTTGGTTTTATGAGGCGTTGTTTTGGTCTCGAGTTTGAAGGCAGCTGTCAAAGCGCGTGGAAATTCATTTGGTCCCATTTGATACCTTGTGTTTAGAGATAATTGTAGGATAAACAGGGGAGGGGAAATAAGCAATTTATCCTCAGGATTTGTAGTGACAGATGCCCACCGTTCTCTATACCTTCCTCACACTCCATTTTCAGTGAGGGCCAGTGAAGTGGATGCTTCTTGAAGTCTCCCTACAGGAAAAAGTTTCCTTTCATTGGATGGGATTTGACTATAGTGTCGCAAATGTGCTCAGGAAAGTCTACCCGTTTTTTAAAAACATCCTGATTATTAGCATATACTAGCAACCTAACCCTCTTGAGAATAGGCTCAAAATTGGCATAGATGAAGGTTTAGAATGCAGAGAAAATTATTCTAAGTATTTTATTGGATTTTTTAAAACCTGGATTTATATGAATGTAATTTTACAGTACTGGGAAGGAAATATCTAATTTAGAGATATATTATTTCATGCTGAGGGCCATAAGCAGCTTTAAAGAAATGTACCTTCATCTATATTTTATTGTGTCGTACAGATTGAGAGGCACTGCATTTGTTATGTTTAAATAAGCTAAACTTATAGTGAAAAGCTGCTACGTATTCTGTTTTACTTTTTAAAATCTGCATTTCTTTAGTTGGCCTATGTACAATGTACAGCACTTTGTGTGTCCAAAATTTGAAGGCAGACACTATCAACAGGTATGTTCTGGGAGAATTGTGAGTTTAAAAAAAGAGACTTTTCCTAGCCTATTGGAAAATGAACAGATCATCGCTATTTTTCAAATAAAATATGCATGGTTTTCCAGTAGGTTGTACTAAAAGGTTTGAATGCGTGACTAGCTAGTAGGAGGGGAATTTGGGAATAATTAGAGATGGAGAATTCTAGCATAATATTTATCAAATTTTATGTGTATTGAATCTCAGAAAAGCAACCAACCTTGATTGAAAAGAGGCTGGAATTTTCATGATCATACTTTTTTTTTTAATTAAATGCTTTGACATCAACTTGAACCTTTAGAGTAATCAGATGTAATGAATTATAATGCCTATAATTAACGAAGTTACAGTTCTGTGAGTGGCAGGATGAATAGTCAAGCTTAGTTTGATACAGTTTTGTTCTCAGCCATGCAAATGGACTGTATTGTACTTTTAAATGTAGCACACTAAATCGGAGCAGGGGACATGGCTTTTTTATTCTGGAAGACAGAAACTGCTCTTCTGATAAAAAGGAATTAGATTCGGAGTTAACTAAAAGGTTCATTTAACAGGCTCTTACTAATCGGATCATGGAGATAATGTGACTTTATAGCTTATTATATCTCCCCTCCCCCCCTTTTTTTTTTTTTTTGATAGCTGGTATTCATTGATGGACTCCAAGGAATCATTAAGCCCTGCCAGTAGAGAAGAAATCCCCAGCAATGTGCTTGCTCCTGAGAGGGGCAATGTGATGGACTTCTATAAAACCCTAAGGGGAGGAGCTATAGGGAAGGCTTCTACCTCTTCGCCCTCACAGGCTGCTGCTTCTCAGTCAGACTCCACGCAGCAACGACCTCTGGTTGATTTTCCAAAAGGCCCGAGAAGCAATGTGCAGCAGCCAGATCTGTCCAAAGCAGTTTCACTCTCAATGGGACTGTATATGGGAGAGACAGACACAAAAGTGATGGGGAATGACCTGGGATTCCCACAGCAGGGCCAAGTCAACCTTTCCTCTGGGGAAACAGACTTTAGGCTTCTGGAAGAGAGCATTGCAAACCTCAATAAGTCGACCAGTGTTCCAGAGAACCCCCAGAGTTCAGCATCTGCTACTGTTTCTACTGCCCCCACAGAGGAGTTTCCACGAATAAGCTCTGATGTGTCCTTAGAACAGCAGAATTTGAAGGGCCAGACTGGCACCAACGGCGGCAATGTGAAGCTGTATGCCACAGACCAAAGAGCCTTTGACATTTTGCAGGATTTGGACTTTTCTTCTGGGTCCCCAGGTAAAGAGATGAATGAGAGCCCTTGGAGATCAGACCTCTTGATAGATGAGAACTGTTTGCTTTCTCCTTTGGTGGGAGAAGATGATCCATTCCTTTTGGAAGGGAACTTGAATGAGGACTGTAAGCCTCTCGTTTTACCAGACACTAAACCTAAAATTAAGGATAATGGAGATCTGATCTTATCGAGCCCCACCAGTGTTTCACTGCCCCAAGTGAAAACAGAAAAAGAAGACTTCATCGAACTCTGCACCCCTGGAGTAATTAAGCAGGAGAAACTGGGCCCAGTTTACTGTCAAACAAACTTTTCTGGGGCAAGTATAATTGGTAATAAAATGTCTGCCATTTCTGTTCACGGTGTGAGTACCTCCGGGGGACAGATGTACCACTATGACATGAATACAGCATCCCTCTCTCAACAGCAGGATCAGAAACCTGTTTTTAATGTCATTCCACCAATCCCTATTGGTTCAGAAAATTGGAATAGGTGCCAAGGATCTGGAGATGACAACTTGACTTCCTTGGGGACCTTGAACTTCTCTGGTCAATCACTTTTTTCTAATGGCTATTCAAGGTAAGATTGTTTTTCTGTTTCTTAACATATGAGACAGATTGGTTTAAATGCTCATTTATTTGTATAAATAAATGTGCTTATTCAGGTGAATAACTTTAAGTAGTCTTTTAAAATAGTTATGGTAGACAACCTAAGTGATATTTCTATACATAACTATTTTCAAGTTTCTGTCTGAATATTGGCATTCAGTATCCCATTGGCCAGTGGTTGAAAATTTTATTTAAAAATTTAAATAATATCGCTCATTAACGGCTATCTTAAGTAAAAATTGTCTAAGTTCAAGGGGGTGTAATGTCTGCAGATATAACATGTTTATTGTGTATGTTCATTTAAGCTCTTACATGGCAATGAAAAGTACCCTTCCTCCTTTACAAAATCAAGAGTTCTGTTGTATCTGCACACTTGGGAAGTGTTAACTTGAGATTAAAGGGTTAAAAATAAGAAGTACTAACAATAGTCAAAGCAATGCAGTGAACAGTGTACCAAACCCATCGTATTAGACATTAGGCTTGCCCACTGGGTTGCTGACCTGAAGTAGCCAAATTGTGTCTGCTGATCAAACTCTGTAAGAAAGGAATTGGTGGCAAGTTGGTGCAGAACAAAATATTACTTTCAAATGTTCCCACAAGCTCCCAAATAGATAACTGATGGCGGACATGGTTAAGCTTCATTTCTCAACTATCGTTTGGTGTATTTCTCTGTCTTTTTTTCTCAGTCATTTATAAGTGTATTGACATTTTTATTTTACCTCAAAAGGAGCTGTTAAATGAAATTGCTAGGAAAAAGTTCTAAATGTAGATGTATCCATTGGTAGGGGTTGAGTTCTCTACCCGTACCCTCATCTCCAATTCAGATAAACAGTGGTTGTATATCACATTTTAGGTGTGAAGGAAAGTATGAAAATGTGATTGTAGAAACACAAGATTGATCAATGGGGTTTTTTTGAAAGGTATAGTAGACAGTTATTTATTTGTACATCAGCATTTCAAGTTTTTTCTTAAATATTAGTGATAGTCATTGTTCCCATTAACTAGGCATTGAAGATTTTATTTAAAACTCTCTTTAAAATACTTTTTGTTGTTGTTAAAAGATGTCCTAACACTGAGATGTCTTCTCCTTTTTTTTTCCTCTTTAAATAGGAAGCTTTTCTCGTTGGGGAAAAGTTTAGATTTAGATTTAGGCTATGTTCTATTTTTTTTAAAGGCTTAGTTGTTTCTCATCAAAAAAAAAAAAATAACACCTTGGCTCTTGTGTGTCTTAATGTAGATGACCTACTAACCTATTATTTAAATAATTATCTTTATTTAAAAGAACACTACCTCAACTTTGTATTGCCGTCATTCTGAATTGAAGGTTTAAAATATTCTTAGTAAGGAGATTGGAGATATTTCTTATCACTTAAACTCTTGTGTTTAAATGGTAAAAGACATGCTGTGTTTTAAATTTTTCAATCTCAAATTTTTTGGCAATGAAATTCATGGTTGAATGTGCTTGGTTGATTTGACTAAGCTGTAGGAAATTATTGCACTGATATATATATATATGTGTGTGTGTGTATATATATATATATATAACATATAATTATACGAAGTAAAATAATATATCTTAGAAAACTCTTAGAGATTATTAATGCATTTTGTCCTGATAATCACCAAGGTAGTAGCATTTTCCTTACTATAAAAAAGGCTTGGAACAAGATTTTTGATTCACAATGAACTTTCATTAAGCCCCATAAAATCTGAGATCTGGAGCATAAATCAGGTGAACGTAGTTACCCATAGATCATTAATAATACCTTTGATAGTAATTTATGACCTGTTAAGTACCTTCACGTATTTTTAACTTGAGCCTCATAGCAACCTTACGACGATAGACAGCAATGATGATGTGGCTCTTTCAAGATTCTTTAATATCCAATGCAATGATTCTTTTTACGCTGATGGGTGATTCGAATTATGACCAGTAGTTTGTGTCCTAATGAAGGTGTAGTATTTTATACAGGATCATTTGGTAATGTTTGAAAATTTTATACCTTTTGCCATTAACTTTGGGAACTATGATTACCCAGAACAAAGCTTCTTCCAAATAAATTGAAACAATGTTTCTTTTCTAACCATCATTGAATTAGTCTATTGTTTCCAAACAGCAACCCTGATAACACTAAAATTGGTTAATTGGTTGCTTTATCCTCTCTATATGTTACATGGTTCTAGCCAAACATTAGCTCTGACCAGTGCCCCTGAATGATTAGCAGGTAAATCAATGTGTTGAGACCACAACTGTATTGAATACTGACTTTCTGACTTTTGGTATAAAAATATTAAATGCCACTAATAACTTCACTTGCATTTCTTTTAAATTAAAAAAAATAAATCATTTGACTTTTTAAGATATCACCTAAAATTGCTTTTTCTCAGAATGCCTTAAAAAAAAACTTCACACTCTCTTTTGAGGGGGAAGGTAGTTCCTTGTAATGTGTCAACATGGCACAACCTCCAATTACCACATTAAATTGTAAAATCGCGAATGTCATGTTTGAGCATAATGAAGTATTTTCTTTTTAATGATTAAGTTCTTTGATAGTAGAACAAGAGAAATCTTATTAATATTCAGATGCATTCTTTTAAGTAAAATAAACTAGCCATTCTAACTTAATATGTTTTTTAAACACTGATATTCATTAAATTATGTTCTGAGTATAAACTTGTAACACTGATTAAGGCAGATTTCTGCATAATTTGATTTTCAGCATTGTTTCACTTCGGTGCTAATGGTGAAATGGCTGAAAAGAGTCAGAGAGGTAAATGGTTTCAGGTGGAATTAGAGCTTCTGCTGAGATTATTAGTGTTAAAAGGTTGACCAGTTTTTGAAGCATAAGATTGGAGAGAAAGAATGATGCAAGATGAATTTGTAAACTTGGTTTTAGGGTTTAGGCCTCTGACAACTGGCACCTAGTGAAGCTAAAAACATTTATGTTGATTTTAATCTCTGATTATTAATTACATGTGCGTCTAATTTATTAACATAATGAAATTGAAGACCTATACAAACACAAGATGAGTGATGCAACAAACTCTGTCCCTTTCTCATTTTTGTTATTAACATTGTATTGAATGTTTTCTCAGAAGTAGAGGAAGCATAAGAAGGAGATTTTGTTGTGATTTTATTTATCCTCTTTTTAGTCGATACTTTCTTTACATCCTACTGTTCCCCCTACCTCCTTCCAAAGGTTCTGGCAGTGAGTGTTTCAATTATTTTTTTTTTTAAGATTTTATTTATTTATTTTTAGAGACAAGGGAAGAGAGGCAAAAAGAGAGGGAGAGAGACGTCGCTATGCGAGAGATACAGCAATCGTTTGCCTCTCGCACGCCCCCAACTGGGGGCCTGGCCAGCAAGCAAGGCATGTGCCCTGTGTGGGAATCGAACCACTGGTTCTCAGGCCAGCACTCAGTCGACTGAACCATACCAGCCAGGGCTCAATTTTCTTTTTTTAGACTTAATATTTCTGATATTCACATATACAAAACGATTGCTGAATGTTAAAGGAGATTTGCTTTTGCTTATTTATTTACTTATTTTCAGCTTTACGATAAAAATCTTTTTTTAAACCCTGTACTTTGTTATGGCTGTATTATTAGTAAAAGATTAAAAAAAGATAATATGGACTGTGTATTCAGGTGTTTCAATTTAGTGTGTAATGACTCCGATACAGAAATGTTGGACCAACATGTGGTTAGATCTTATTGAAATTACTTCTTGTGATGTTTCTTTAGCTATTCCATGATATTTTTGTAATTGATAACATGATTTTTATTAAAATGCTCTTTTTGTTTTATCTGTTTGTGTTGCAGGTATTTTAGTTAGTCTAACCCTTTCAATATATTATTGAATGTCTATAAACTTATGAAAGACTTATTCAGAAATATACTTTGCATAAATGTAGGTTAAATGCAAATTGTATTAATAGTGGAATTCATATGTAGGTAGAAATCACTTTTGAGGCCTTTTGAGATTTTTAGAGCTTGGATCAAAAGGGCCTATTTTAGTATGAGTGCCTGTTGTGAAAGAGCATCTGTATTAATTGGTTGGTTATGTAAGTCTTATCACTCTGGCCTGCAGGTGATTGAATAGCCTAGTTATTAGAAAATCTAAATTTACATTAGGTTTAAAATAAGTCTGGCAGCATATCCTTAAAACATATTTGTTCTTTCTTTAAAGATCACCCTAATTTTGCCCTGGTCATGTAGCTAAAGTTGGGTAGAGCGTCATACCGAAACGTCAATATTGCTGTTCAATCCCCAGTCAGGGCACTGAAAGAGTCAACCTGTGAATGCATAAATAAGTGGAACAACAAGTTGATGTTTCTCTCTCGCTCTCTTTTTCTAAAATCAATAAATTTTTAAAAAATTAAAAATCACACCTAATTTTAATTAGCAGTGAGTGCTCATTGTGTACTACTACCAAAGTGAGCCAATTAAACAGGAAAATAGGTTCGTGCTTTTAGCCTTCTAAGGACCTCCTGATAATTGTGTAATGCAGTATTTACAGGTATTTTCCAAATTAATGGGCATTTGCTTCCATATTTCTGAACCATGGACAAAATATATATTGGTGAATTGTGTTGCAAAAGAAGTTTCAAGAAATATTTTGTTGAATTAAGCTATAACTGAAAAAAAAAAATCAATTACTTATTGACCTTTACAGAAGGGTTTAAAAGCCCATGCTCTCCTTCTTGTAGCTTCAGAGAGCCAAATGCTCTCATTGCCTTCCGGCTTATTCTACCTGGGTTTTGTACTTTTGAGGTAAATAAAAATATTCCTATGGAGGACTGCCCTTTTTATAAAAAAAGAAAAGACCCATTAAGTGTTCCTTTCCCTTTGAATTGGCTATGATCTTTTCTATGTGACTTTTAATGGTGATTTTTGAATTCATTTTACGCAGGAAGGTATATTTTAGAAAATGTCCCATTTCATCACAGTTAAAAATTCATTGCAGATAAT